TTCTGCATCCATTTAAGTGCTTTCTTTGGACTAGATTAGTGTTTATGTTTGCTGAAGTCTGGCATTTTGGAAAGTCTTACTTGGACCACATTAGATATCAAGGCAAGCCAGCCAGGAGGGAGAGTTTGACGGTTTGGGGGAGGGTTGGGGGCTAGGCCAACATTTTCCCTTTCTCTCTATAAGGAAAATGCAAATAAAACCATAGCCATCAAAGTGTGTGTGTGTGTGTGTGTGTGTGTGTTTCTGGGTTTACTCATGAGTGGGACACATGGACATGTGTGAATGTGCATGTGGAAACCAGAAGTCAGCCACCTTGGGTACCATTCCTCAGGACCTGCCCATCTTTAAGGCTGGGTGGTGGTGGTGCACACCTTTAATCCCAGCACACAGGAAGCAGAGGCAGGTGGATCTCTGTGAGATGGCGACCAGCCTGGTCTATAGAGCAAGTTTCAGGACAGGTTCCAAAGCTACCATGTCTTGAAAAACAAAACAAAAACATTTTTAAAGATTTTCTTCTTTATGTGTATGCATATGTGCACATGTAGGTGTGTCCCCTTGAAGGCCAGAGAGGTCTTCAGAAATCCTGGAGGTGGAGTCATGGGAGGTTGTGGGCTGCCATGTGGGCCCTAGGAACCAAACTTAGGTCCTCTGCAAGAGCAGCAAATGCTCTTAACTAAGGAGGTATCTCTGCAGCCCACCCATCCATCTTTTTGTTTGTTTGAAACACGGTCTCCCGCTGGGACCAGGACTTGCTGATTAATCTAGACAGTCTGGCCAATGAGCCCCAGGGATTGGAACATCTTTGCCTTCTAAGTGCTGGGATTTCAAACGTGTACCTCCACACACAGCTTTTGATCTGAATGCTGGGGGCTGAACTCAGGTCCTCATGCTTGTATAGCAATCCATCTCCTCCTCCTCAGCCTCCACTGATGTTTTCAGTTGCTGTCGGTGGCATTTATGGGATGAAAATCCATTTTTAACCATTTCAAGGGTCTCAAATCATCTTCCAAACTGCATTGACTAGGGAACCACCTAATCTTGTAGCAAGCGGGGCGTGAAAAATAGGGAGAGTGTGCAGTTCTCAGCCCAAGAGATTGCAAGAGGCATCCCTCACCGGGGAAGATGCTACAAACTTCACCATGAAGCAAGTGTCACAGACAGTGGGTTCTGGCTTATGCAACTCAAATGCCAGGACCCCTCTGTCCTGGATAACCCATGTCAGTTTCCCTGACAACAAACATCCCCTGTCTGTGACTTCTCTTGAAACATAGGAGCTCCTGCCAAGAGCTGGGAGTCGGCTCCTTCTTCATGATGTATGACATTTTAAAAAGCAAGACTAGGGCTGGAGAGAGGGCCCAGCAGTTAAGAGTATACACAACTTGAGTTTTCTATTGCTATGACAAAACACTATGACCAGCTGGGTGGTGGTGGCATATATGCCTTTAGTCCTAGCACTTGGGAGGCAGAGACAGACAGATCTCAGTGAGTTCAAGGCCAATCTGGTCTACAAAGTGAGTTCCAGGACAACCAGGACTATTTCACAGAGAAACTCTGCCTGGAAAAACAAACAAAAACAAAAGAAACAAAACAAAACACTATGACCAAGACAACTTATGAAGACAGCATAATTAGGGCTTACAGTTCAGAGGCTGAGCCCATGACCATTATGGTGTCGGGAAGGCAGGCATGGTGCTGGAGCAGAAGCTAAGAGCATAAGACACAGAGACAGCTAATTGGAAATGGTATGGGGTTTTAAAATCTCAAAGCCAGATCCTGATGACACGCCTCCTCCAACAAGGTCACACCTCCTCATCCTTCCCAAACAGTTCCACAAACTGGCTTCTAAACATTCAAACATATGAATGAGTCTATGGTGACCATTCTCATTTAAATCACCGCACTGCTGTTGCAGAGGACCTGAGTTTGGTTCCCAGTACTCAGGCTGCCTATAACTCCAGCTCCAGGGAATCCATACTTTCTTCTGGCTTCTGAGGCACCTGCACTCATGTGTACAAACCCACACAGACATTCACATTTATGAATAATTAAAAACAAAATAACTCCTTTTTAAAAGGCAGGATTCCACTAGTCTCTACAGTATTCAAATTAGAAACTACCAAAGGAATTTGAGGCTTCTCTGTGCTTGTTGGTCACTGATGCAATAGTCAGCATCGCTTTTCCAGTCAGTGTCCCCTCCCTGTGCCCAGGACAGCTGCTGATGCTTCAGTCTTCCACCTTGGCTGTCCCGTATCCTACCAGGACCAAGGCAGCTCTCCTCCATTTTCTTTCTGGTTCCCAGTTCCTTCTCTCTTGCTCCATCCTAGCCAGTGATCTTCTATCTGAGGTGCACCGAGGCCTCACAAAACAGCGTGGATGTCTTGTGTGTACTCCTCTAGCAGAATAGATTCTAAGAAGCCACAGAAGCCAGAGGTATGACAGTCTGTTTCCAGCTCTCGGGTCCCAAAGTATCTGTCTTGCTCAGATGTGTCCCCGTCTCAGTCGCTGCATTTATGATCTGCCAGTGTTCTTCCCAGCTTGTTAGTGACATCCAGTTCTCTCTTGAGATGGAGAGGCCTTCAAGACCCCTCTGGACCTTCCCATCCCTAATCCTGGCATGCAGTCTGCAAGGTTAGCCAATGTCCTTGGAAAGTTTTCTCCTGTCCCCCTTCCGTCTGTCATGCCCTTGTCACATATGTTTCCCTGTTGCAAATGCCACTTAAGGGCTTGCAGTTTGAAGGGCCAGTCCATCAAGGTGGGGCAGGAGTGTGACAGCAGTGTGGGGCAGCTGTTCACATGGCACCCACAGTCAGGAAGCAGAGTGATGCATACTGCTACCCAGTTCCCTTTCTCCTTTGTATGGGTCAGGGTTCCCTAGAGTAGTGCTTCTCAACCTTCCTAATGCTGCGACCCTTTAATACAGTCCCTCATGTTGTGGTGACCCCAACCATAAACTTACTTTCATTGCTACTCCATAATTTTTCTACTGTTACCAATCAAAATGTAAATATCCATGTTTTCTGATGGTCTTAGGTGACTCCTGCAAAAGGGTCATTTGCCCTAAAGGGGTCACGAGCCACTGTTGCTCTAGAGGAACAGAACTGATCGTGTGTGTGTGTGTGTGTGTGTGTGTGTGTGTGTGTGTGTGTGATTTATTAGAGTGAGTTATAGGCTGTGGTCCACCTAATCTAATAATGACTGTCTATCATTGGAAAGTACAAGAATCCAGTACTTGTTCAGTGCATGAGGCTCGATGTCTCATCTGGTTTTCAGTATATGCCAGAAGCCCGAAGAAGTGAGCTTCTGACGCCAGTGAAGGGATAGACTCGCCAGCAAGAGCAAAGGGAGGCAGAAAAAGAGAAAAAAAGCTTCCTTCTTTTATGTCCCTTACACAGGCTGTCAGCAGAAGAGTAACCCAGATTAAAGGCAGATCTCCCTCACCTCAAGAGATCTGGATTCAGGGTGCTTCTTCCTACCTCAAGTGATATAATTAAGGAAAATCCCTCCCAGGTGTGCCCAGTCAGGTAGGTTTTAGCTAATCTCAGATATCTCAGATGTGCTCAAGTTGCTAACCAAGAACAGCCAGCAAACCTTTTTTTGTGTGTTTGTTTTTTCAAGACAGGGTTTCTCTGTATTGTTTTGGAGGCTGTCCTGGAACTCACTTTGTAGACCAGGCTGGCCTCGAACTCACAGATATCCTCCTGCCTCTGCCTCGAGTGCTGGGATTAAAGGCGTGCGCCACCAACACCCTGCTCAGCAGACCTTTTTAATTCAGTTTTTAGTGTCCAGCTCCCGGAATGGTTCTGCCCAGAGTGCGCAATCACATTAACCATCACATGGGATGCAGGGAGTTTGCAGTCCTGAGATTTCCTTGATCCTGGGGTCTCAGAGCTCCCCCCCATGGTTAAGAGGGAAGTGGCCTCAGTACTGAGGAATAGGCTAGGGAAGCTGAATGGCCTGTGGTGCCAGGAGGGTGGCTCTGCAGAGATAGGTGCTGCCAGGCCGGAGACGTCTGTCCCTGCCTGAGTTTTCTTTATCTCCTAGTGAAAGGAGGCAATTCTTTTCCTTGTCTCTGGAAACCTTGCCTCCCTAACTATCTTGCTCCCTGTTTCTTCCTGGCCTTCTGTTCTTTTCCTCTCCCTGGAGTCAACCACTGTTCCACCCTTGGCTTGTAACACCATAGGTAGTGGGCACCCCATCCCCCGCGACAAACTCCAAGGGGAGGCCAGCGTGGACACCCCTTCTGCCAATGTGAATTGTAAATATTTCCGGCCCTGAACTGAAATGATTGCCGGAGGGAGTGAGGCTCTGAGCCTGCATAAAGGGAAAGGAACCATCCCCACCCCACCCTATCCCTATGATTAGGTGCAGCCTCATCCCAGGCCGGGTCCTGATAGTTCCTATCTCTGCTGAACGGTGCACCCACCCTCCTCCTACAGTCTCAGGACATTTGCCTCTCCCTCTGCCTATGTCTCTCATGCTGCTTCTACCCCCAACGCCTCTAGAAACCCTTTCATTTCCCTCCTAGTAAAGCTCCCTTCCTGGCCTCATTCCTGTTTATTATCTCCTATTCTCAGGTCAGCAACAGTCAATTTTGCACAACTCAAACCTGGCCATGTTAGCCTAGCGTCCATCCCTAGGCCTGCGTTCTTCCTCCAGGAGCCCTTCCTGATTCTTCCTGCTGGGAAGCTTTTGGCTGAGCTTGCCTTGAAGGAAGGGTCACTGTGTGTGAGTCTACTGTCCCACAAAGGCACCCACTACATCCCAAGCATCGACCTAATAAGGGATGTCCGGGATCCTGGCAGAGACTCAACAGCTGACTTTACATATTTATGGGACTAATTGATTCTGGGCTTCCAGCACGCTGAGGCCGCACAAAAGGGGGGCGGTGGTGCCTGGCACCACACGCAGGGTCCCACTGCGTAGCGCTTGGGGAGCTCAGCTGCAGCACCAGACCTTGAGGTCAGTAGGCAGGGGCGGGGAAGCCGCGGCCGCGCCCTCCTGGCCACTCCCCAGCCGGCGGTGGGTGGCGCGCACTCGCATATGTCCTCCGCGCCACCGCGATCGCCCACCCCGCGGGCCCCCAAGATGAAGAAGGATGAGTCTTTTCTGGGCAAGTTGGGTGGCACGCTGGCGAGGAAGAAGAAGACCAGGGAGGGTGAGTGCTCCCCCGTGTCCTTTTGGCGCCAGCCGGGTGCCAGCGAAGTCCCCTGGGTGTCTGCTCCCTGTCTGCTCTGGCGGCTCCAATGAGCCCTCCCTCGGCGCCCAGGCTGCACTGCCCGCGCGCGACCTTTGCGACAGGCCGGTCCCTGTCCCAGAGACCTTTACAGTGCTGGCCCAGTGCCCAGGACGTGCGTCCTGCTCTGGACACAGGCTGAGCAGGCTATGGTTCTCGTGCCTACCCTTGTCGTGTGACACTCTCGTCACAGTGATTGGACACATGCGTGGTGGGGAGGACGGGCTGCTGACTACTTGGTGTCTGCACGCGTGGCTTGGTCCCTAAGCTGGGAGCCTGTGAAAAGGCACAAGTGAAAGGGAAGCCTGGAGCCAGGGCCACGAGCCCCCCCATCCCCACCCCAGGCCCCCAGTCAGGCATGTTGTACAGGAAAGTAATTTTAAAACGACATCCTTCTACTTTTTAAACTTTAATAAAACAGAATTTCAAGGGACGTAACTTCTGCTCCAGGGCCTGGGCCTCAATCATACTGCAGTTCCTAGTCCTCCCCTTGCAGAGACATTCCTGACTTTTCTATTGTTTTGGCCTGGAGGCTCTTGCCCTTGGGCTGAGGTTCCTGGCGCTCACCGGGAATGGGAGGGGCTTGCTGAGAGAAAGAGCAGGTAGAAAGAAGCCCCAGAGCCCGACTTCCTGAGGATTAGTTGGCTAGGGATCATCTGTTAGGCTGCTCAGAGGGTCTCCTCCAGCCACTGGGGCCAAATTTACTCCTAGAAAGCCTTCCTGGACCTTAAGGGACAAGCTAGTCCCAGGACGTTGACTGATAATCACCCGGTGCGCCCGAAGGACAGTAGTGATATATTTAGTCTTAAAGGAACCTTCAGGCCCTAAATTATGGGCGGACTCACTCATCTTGAAAGGCAGGGCATGTAGGGAAATGCAGAGCTTGTCTGAAGTGTGGTACTACCTCTACTTTGATAGAACCCATGAAGAGCCTGTGGCCCCCCACACCCTGCCCAGACTTGCCTTCCCAGACCTTCAACTCCACAACGTTCTTTACCAAACTAGACTGCCCAGTTCCCTGAGGGCAGACACTGGTCTCCTCCCCCACCCCTCCCAAGTCTTCTGTTGCAGACCCTCGGGGTTGGCTTGCATCGCTTTCATCGCTTTCATCTCCGTGAGGTCTCCGGTTGTCCCGGTTGCCTGTCTGGCGGAGTGTAATCATTGTGACCCTGCCTACAAGCCAGTTCTCTTCCTCTTACATGCTACGACAGTGGTGTGCCTGCGTTCATTCCATCATCTGGTTTTGGTTTTGTTTTTGAGTTGGGGTTATGGTGTGTCAACCACATCTGGACTCAAAGTCCTGGGATTACTTAAGATCCTCCTGCCTCAGTCTCTCCTGTATTGGAAACTGTGGTGTGTTGCCACCCGTTTGTGGCTTATCATCTATGTGAATCTGATGAGCTTTGGTTACTGTCCAGACCTCTGAAGTAGAGGGAAAGCTCAATCCTTCAGGGTCCTGGGATCCTAAGCTGCAATTGTCAGAGAGCTGGGGAACAGGGGTGGTGATGTTGGGGATAAAACCTAAGAAAGAAAATTATTCATAGAAAAGCATGTGTAAGAATGTGAATAGTAGCCGGGCGTTGGTGGCGCACGCCTTTAATCCCAGCACTCGGGAGGCAGAGCCAGGCGGATCTCTTTGAGTTCGAGGCCAGCCTGGTCTACAGAGTGAGTTCCAGGACAGCCTCCAAAGCCACAGAGAAACCTTGTCTCGAAAAACCAAAAAAAAAAAAAAAAAAAAAAAAAAAAGAATGTGAATGGTTCCATGTGTATGCACATGCATGTACAGGTTGGAAGTCATGCTGGGTGTCTTCCTCAATGTTCCTCATTATCTATGTTATCTATCTACTTACCTATCTATCTGTCTCTCTATCCATCCATCCATCCATCCATCCTCCCACCCACCCTGGCTGGCCTGGAACTTAATAGCCAGACTGGCTTGGAACTTAAGAGACCAACCTGGTTTTGCCTTCTGTGTGCTGCTCCACTGGGTTCCATCTTGTTTTTTTGAGGCAAGGTCTCTTACTGAACCAGGGGCTCTTTGACTTGGACCAGCAAGTCCCAAGGTCCTCTGTCTTCACCTCGTCTGATTTGAGATTATAGGTAAGCAACACTTACCTGGCTTTTGACTTTTTAAAAATGATCGGTGCTGGGGAAGGAACTCTGGTCCTCATGCAAACACTTTACCAACAGAGCTGCCTTCCCTGCCTCTTACAGCTTTTCTAGGTTGTACTTAGACTTTTGGAACATGAGGGATGCCCAAGCCAAGTAATGAGCTGGCCTCGGTTTCCAATCCTAAGTCCTTCTCTGCTTTGCTTGTATGGGAGCATGTGTATCCAGAAGACGGGACCAGTCTGGCCCAGTTTAAATACACCCAGAACCTCAGCAGCACCTCCCTCTGTCTGCTGCTTCTGCTGGTGTTGCCAGCCTGGTGGGTTAGCTAGGCCCTCTGCCTCGGTTTCCAAGGTTAGAGTACCTCTCACCCTTGTAACCAGAAAGCCACAAACCCTAACTGGTCTCTGAGGCAGGAGTAGAGGGAAAGATCAGCCTTGGAAGGGCTGAGTGACTTCCATGTGGTCCTCTGGGAAGAGGAGAAGGAATGGAGGGGCAAATGTGAAGACTGTGTAATGAGCTCTTGAATAATTGAGCATCGAGAGCTGCCAGTATTTCTGCAGACCTGTTGCCTTGGCAACTGGCCCTCCTGACTGCTCTTAGCCTTGACTTTGGGCCGTGGGAGCTTATGCATGGATGCCTGCTAGGGAATGACCGGGGAGGGTTTGGGCCTCCCCAGCCTTCCAGCCAAACACTTAGCTGTTTTTCCTCCTTTGTCCAAAAGTCCAGGGTGGATTGTGAACATTTCCTGAACTGAGGACCTCGGAAGTGGGGAGGGAATGGTTGGTGAAGTTCAAGGTTCAGGGACATATGGGCATTTAGCCTCACCCTGCCTCGCCGAGTAGCAAAGAGGGGACAAATGTTCCGTCACATTCCAGGAGGTGGAGCATGCTAGGGTGCCCAGCACAGGAAGCGTCTAAGAATGAACAGGGCGTGATTCAGCCCAGTGAAGGCACTATGGTTTCACGGGGTGGCCTGGTCAGAAAAGGGAAGTGTGACTAACTGTGCTCTTTGGAAAACGGAAGGGAACGCCTACAGCACTCAGCTTCCCCATGGGGAGTATGAGTCTGTGCCCTGAGAGGTCAGCAGCAAGCTTAAAACCTTTGGAGGTCAGGATATGGGGGGGGGCGGTAGATACTGAGAAAAGATGCCCCACACAGGGTCTCCTCTTACTGCCAAGGAAAGGTCATGAGTCCAAGGAGGGGGTTGGGACTGTAACTATGGCTGTTTAAATCCCAGAGGCACAACTGTCCTCCAGTAAGGCTCTGGGTGGTAAGGGGACAGGTTCAACTCCCCAAAAGGCCCTTCTGCTTCTAGGACAGGCAGCTAATGGCAGACACCACTCCCCAGGGACCAGTGTTGGGCTTTCTCAGAGAGCCCAGGCCACCAGGCCACGAGTGGAGTAGACAAGAGGTTTCTAGTCCCCAGCTGCCTTAAGACACACACGTGTAGCCGGGCGTTGGTGGCGCACGCCTTTAATCCCAGCACTCGGGAGGCAGAGGCAGGCGGATCTCTGTGAGTTCGAGGCCAGCCTGGTCTACAAGAGCTAGTTCCAGGACAGCCTCCAAAGCCACAGAGAAACCCTGTCTCGAAAAACCAAAAAAAAAAAAAAAAAAAAAAAGACACACGTGTAATGTATGATACATTAATACTATATAGCTATACAATTTATCAATTATCTATTATTAATTGTCTATATCTATTATCTATCATCTGTCAATTATTTCTATCTATCTATCTATCTGTCTATATTCTGTCTATATCTATGCACTTTTGGTTTCTAACAAGATGGAGTGCCTCCCCCCCTTGCTCACCAATTCTTCTGGTAGCAACTTGAGTTTTTGTCTCAAGGCCCACAGTTGACAGTGGGGCTACTCTCACCCTGAATGTTGGGATCAATGTAGAATGAAGAACTCCTGCTGCCTGGTCACCAGGTAATGCTAATTGCACTGCTTGTCTGACCCTCCCTTCCCCAAGGTCCTAAACTCTTGGATTTGAAAAGAAAAAAACAATCTCATAGTTTTGTCTTTTCTAGAATCATGAGCAGAACCCAAGTGCATGAGGCTTTTCACACTGGCTGCCTTCACTCACTGTCCAGCCAAGTTTCCTGTGTGTGGCTGTGGGCCACCGTGCCTGCCTCAGATGGTGTTGAGAGTCCAGCCCTGGCCCTTGCACATTCTACACACAGAGCTGGAGCCCAGCCACAAGCTTCTGAAACTACTAAGTGCTACGAGAGAAGAAAGAAGCTGCCTCAAATTCTCCCACATCCCAGTGGGTCCTAGTAGGAGAAGGGGGAGGGGAAGCCACTGTCTCCAGGGCCCAGACCCTGGGGGAATGTCGCTCCTAGACCTGAATACATCAGGAAACAGGTGACAGACAGCTGGCCGTGTGTGTACTTGGGACCTCAGGAGCCAACCTGGCTCAGGTCCCTTATTTAGGACACGGAGGCCTGGTTGGGGGAGGGGTGAGTAGGTGTGGGGATCTTGGGGATACACCGCTAGATTTGAGGAACTGGGATTCCCGCTGGAGCTAGTAGCCTGTTCTAGCTTGCTTCTCTGTTGCTGTGTTAAAACACCGACCAAAAGCAGCTTGAGGGAGGAAAGAGTGTATTTGGCTTATACTTCCTGGTCACAGTTCGTCGTTGAGGGAAGCCGGGCCGGGACTAAAGCAGGAGCCACAGAGGAGCTCCCTTCTTGGCTTCCTTCTGGCTCTTGTTCAGCCCGCTCATACGGGGACCCGAGCTCGCCTGTGTCAATCATCAATCCAGATCTTTCTCAAATAGACAGGGCCATAGGTCAATCTGATTGAGGCAT